TACGGCCTTACGAGTCAAAAGTTACGCCTTCGCAAAGCTTTTAACACAAAATTCTTTAAAAAAAAAATTAAAAAATCGGCGGTCTAGGTGGCCGCCTAGCCTGCTGGCCGCGGAGGATGCCGATTCCGGCCTTCCTCACAGTGGCCAGTGGCCGACTGACTATCTAGCACCTAGGGGCGATTTTTGCAACACTGCATATTAAAGAAACAAATTAGGATATGACTTTTCAATAAAATGAATGATTACACCTTATTAAACCTGTTAGCACATACCTAGTATATGGAAAAATAGCAAAAAAAAAAAAAAAAAAAAAAGAGTTGCCTAATGTGGGCATTTTACTACACATTTTTGAAGTTTCTTACATCCTTCTAGATCTATCTTGAACTTTTCCATAGTTTATAAAATTTTCTAAAAATATGTATATAACACTAGTAGTTGTAGACATGTATAAAATATTCTATAACCTTATAGAACTTTATGGTTGTGTAGAGGTTTAGGGAGGGTTCTATATATGGATTCTTAGCCATATGATTTAGTGAAATCTTCACCATCCATTAAGGAGGTGGAATGGATATAAATATACCTTATGAGGCTCATTTATAATTTGTAAACAACCTCTATAATCTAAGTGCTTAAGTAATTCAAGCATCCAAGTTACTACGTGTTCTTTCAAAGGTTTCTTGTAAGATTATTGCCTTAATCATTTTATCGTTAAATTACGAAATGAGTTAAATTACAAGATAGAATGTCGTTAGTAAAAAACAAGTCCATTGACACTAATCTCACCAATTAATAAAAGAAATACCAACATGCTGAAAAACAAACGAATTCTATTGGCAAATATATAAATCTCGTCTTCTCCTAATCCGAACTAGTCGATCAAATTTACTATAACTCCAAATTTTTGAGATAAGATCAGTTGCCTTACATCTGACAATTACAAGATCAGTCATTCTCGAACTCCGAGCAATTATGTAAACCACAAATGCTTCCGGTAAGAAATTTCTGGCGAACACAAAGAATGAAAAATACGAAAGGGTAATGTAAAAAAAGTCACATATGTCACTCTGCATGTTTGTTAACTAAGCAGATTCATAGTGAAATCCAAGAATATTGAACAATCTATGAACTTTAGATGTTAAAAACTCGGAAATCAAAGAAATAGATGAACTTTAGATGTGGAAAAACATTAGAATAAACCTCAAGAAGGTATAATCATCTACGATTCAACCTGTATTAGTCTCTCTAAGATCTCGGCGGAAAACAACTGCTGGCGAACTAGAAACCTGAAAAAGGAATAATGTTAGTTGAAATCGCAAACTAGGTCAGGTTAAGATCGTAGAAACCTGGAGAAAATCAAACAATTAAGTACAGACCGCTATACTTCTACTTAAGAAGTTGAGATTAAATGCTTAGATTGAGCAAGATTCTAGATAGAAGCAGATGCAATCGGTTGCCGGAATGTTATAGAGAGAGGCAGATAGTGGAATTGGGTGTGCTGCATGACAAATGAGTAGCTTTAGTGTTTCAAACTGTTTTAAATTTTAACCATTTTGGCAATGGAATTGTTGTTTAAATTATCATCATTACTGAATAATATTTTACTTAACCTTTGTGTACTTGATCCACATTGTAAGACATTTGATATTTGAGTTAATGGCTCTAATTTCTTGGCAAAAAAAAAAAAAAATTAAAAAGTTGTATTTGATTGTTAAACATTAGTTAGTGTAAATAAAAATTGGCTAATTGTTTATGTTTTTATTATCATTTTTTCTTGCAGTTCGAAGTCAATTATTTATTGGCAATAACATTAATACAACTTCAACGGAACTAGGTTGGTTATTACCAAGTTAGCAATCACGTGATTGAAGGGAAAATAATGTCTGAAAATAATCCAGGAACAAAGGTATTAGTATGTCTGAAAATAATTCAGGAATAAAGGTATTAGTTTCCCGAATGACTATGATGTGTCATATGCGATGACAGTTAACAAGAGTCAAGGTCAAACATTATCACACGTTGGATTAGTCTTGAAGAAACCGGTTTTTGTTCACGGTCAATTGTATGTTGCTGTTTCAGGGTGAGTAATCCCGACGGATTGAAGATTTTAATTTGTAGTGACTCGAACAATGTTAGTACGTCAACCACCAGCGTTGTTTACCATGAAGTCTTTAATAATGTTTAATATTTTGATATTTACATAATGTAATATAGAATGCTAAGTAGTTTTTTTTTAGCACTAAAATCTTTTTCATATTCTCTTTTGTTTTTCAAATATATTCGATCTACGTAATTGGCGTCTACTGAATAAATTTATTTTGGTGAATTAAAATGCTACAAACAAATTTTCAAATCCTATCCGTGAATCGCACGGATCAATTACTACTATATAATTATATTATGTGTATGTCGGAGTTGAAAACAAGGATACATAATTATTGTTTTACTGAGAATTTGATTATACTATACTGGATAATATGATTGGCATATATATAATTATATTATGTGTATGCATGGGTTGAAAACAAGGATACATATTATTGTTTTGCTGATAAGTTCGCAAATATCAACCAGAAGCAACAGGTATGTTTAAATTCCCCTACTGCTGATTTAGTAAGTACATTTTTTTGCAATAATTGCTGTATTAATTTTTTTAATTCTATGTATCTGAATTTAACTGAAATAGTGAAACTATTGCAGATTAACTGGGTACTGCATATGATTTGCCGATCTGGAGGAGCTTCGGGAGGATGTAAAAATGACAGAGAAATTTTGAACATTATTAATACTCCACACTGTATAGAAATACTAAGTACTTAGTACTTTTTTCATACTATATAGAAATATTTAGTATTAGTATTTTTTTATACAATATCTCTAATGTACAAACTACAAACTGATACTTTGAAAAAGAGTTAATTCCAACAATGATCCTCCGACTATGTTGATTTTTCACAATTGGTCATTGACTTTTAATTTGGATAATTTAGACACTTGACTTTCGAATTCTTTTCAATGTTAGTCTTTTCGTCAGATGAAGGTAAGTGGATGTTAGTTTGAGGGGTAAAATAGGCATTTCACTTACTTAGTTTATAATTATCCCTTTCCTGTATATGCGACATTCTTTCCGGCGTTGCAAACAAGTGCAATCCGCCGCAATCCTCGACGTCCATGGAAGTAACAGAGATGAAGACGATGAGCATGATAATAGAGTGAGTGATTGGAGGGCTCTTGATAAGTTGGTTGCTTCCCAATTGAACCACGACGATCTTAATGATGATCAGAAGAGATACAACGGCGGCGAGCCGAGATTGAAAAATCAGAAGATATACAAAAGCGTGAGAACACTGTGCGGTGAAGAAAACTGCCGGAGCAAAACACTCGTCGCCGGCGCCCGGAATGACTACCGGAGGAGCGTCGTCAAAGCTCAAGAAAGCTGCAAAAAAAAGATCATCGTTTCACCCGCTGGGTCCTTCTGGCAAAATTTCTCGACAGTGCGCTCAACCACAATTGCTGCTTTGGTGTTGCAAAGGTCGGTTTTGTGGATGTCGCTTTAGCTTGATTGTGTGCTGGCCTCTTCAAAGTTTTCACTCTTGAACAAGGATTTTTTTATTAGGTGAAATTGCATACATTTGGTGTGTTCAGTGGCCTAATTGCACATTTTTTTTTTCGTTCAGTGGCCTAATTACATTTTTAGGTTACGTTCAGTGGCCAATTTGGACATTATTCCAAGTATATTTGCACCATTATATATACAAAACCCTTTTTAAAAAGTTTGAATTGTATAGCATAGAGGTTCTCTTTCATGCACAAGGGTACAAATCAAATCCCAACACTCAAAAACTTATTGTTTTCCTCTTGCTCTCTCTCTCTCTCTCAAAATCTTTGTCGAAGTGCTCGATCATTGTTCTAATCTACCGGACTTTTTGTTCTTTTCTTACGAATTTCTGTCAACTCTTATAAAAAGTCGAAGTGCTCGATCATTGTTCTAGTTCGTTGGACTTTTTGTTTTAATACTCAAACACTAAAGTCGTAATTTATTTTATTCTGAAAAATTGACGCTACAACGCTCTTAGCACACTTGGAAGGTAGCGAGTCGGTTTTAAGAAGAGTGTGTGGTGTTGGAAAAAATGAACCAAATTCATTTATCAAAAATAATATATATATATATATATATATATATATAAATCGAATCTATAATCCTCCAGATTATAATTCCAACCAACAAGAAAGGGTTAATGATTTATTGCTTAAAAGCATAATCCCATAAACCGAAAGAAGAGAAGAAGAAGAAGAGTGGTTAGTATGAGTCAAGCGATACACTCTGTCCATAAAACCTTATTTGCTATCTTCCAAAAGTGTTAGCAGCGTTGTAGTCTAGGTTTCCCAGGATAAAAGCATTGTAGCCTAGGTTTCCCAGGATAAAACGTACTACGGTTCAACGTTTGAGCACCAAAACGAACGAACCCTACGAACGAACCCTACGAACTAGGTTTCCCAGAATAAAACGTACTACGGTTCAATGTTTGAGCACCCAAACAAACGAACCCTACGAACTAGAGCAAGGTCAGAACACAATTTCAAGAAGGAGTAAGAGCCACAGGTGCCGGCGTACACGAGTTCAAGCATTTGCAGGCTCAGTTTGGGATTTGATTTGCACCCTCCCTTCGCGCGCGAGAGAGCATCTATATTATACTATTCAATAAGCCTATAAAAGACTCTTGTATAAATAGTGGTGCAAATCCACTTCCCAAACTAATGCGGGACAAGAGCTCATTTTTTTCCAACTCAATGGATTTATTTTGAGAATCAATATCTCATTTATCCATTATCCGTTTTGAGCGTACAATATATCAATCTCTTCGTCTCACTACGAAGAACCCGAATCCATTCCGACCCGACCAAAATAAAAAATGAACCTCACTGATAATTATACTACAAAATAACCACTTAAAATGCTATTTTTCCAACATGTGTTACACACCATGACCCACTGCACGTAGTCTCCAAACTATATACTGTAGTCTCACATTTTATAATATATATATTACCAAGCAAATTAAAGTCATACACATATTCAGTTTCCAAAGTGAACTCAACGAACATGAAAGTAAACCATGAATTCATACAATCTTCATTTTCATCAAACTCATAATAGGAAAAAAGGAAAATGAAAAAACACCCATAAGTCTCTGACGGACCGTCTATTATTGGGGGATAGATTTGTTCTCACCCTACTCACTGCTAGGTGAAGGTGCTTCGGTTGCTGAGTTTTTATCATTGTAACCTGAAAAGAAAACACTTCATTAAACTTAAAGTAAATAGCCCGGGAGCATAATTCTCGTGATATATATGATTGAAAGTCACCAATTTCAGAGTTTTTCTCACTTTTAGTCCCACGACTATAGTGATACTATCAGAATTGATCCACGATTTTAAAATCTTGCAATCTCGGTCTACGACTATTTATTTATTTATTTATATTTTTTTGGTAAAAATGGTCATTCCGGCCCATTTTCTATCAATTTTCTGGCCCGCTTTTGACGGAACTGGTTCTTACTCTAATGAGAAATTGACAGAAAATGGACCAAAAGGACTATACTTGCAAAAAAAAAAAAAAAAAAAAAAAAAAAACAATTGTTGTGAACCGAGATTACAAGATTTGACCAAAAATGCGAAAAACTGATTCGGTATTTGACCAAAAATGCGAAAAACTCTGATTCGGTACTCTCCAGACTCTTCACGGCACCAAGTAGCCCCCTCCCTTAGGCCAACACCGGATGAGTGGATGGCTTCACTCTGGCTACCACACTCCAGCCTCTCAACAAAAACATCAAATAATATAATACTCAAGCCAAGACCCTAACTCCACCCCCAAAAACTAAGTCATGACTTATGAGTGGAGGTTTGGCTCCAACTTAAGTACCACTCCACAATCTCTTGTGGAGCCGATGTGGGATTGTATCTAACTCCTAATTCCATTATGCAAACACAAGAACTCACATTGCAAAGAGTGATATAAAAAATGAACTTACAGTCTGCTTGCTCCCACCCCAAAACCATCTTCTCGCTGTCAAAAACCACCCGGTAGCCGGTCATAAAATTTTCTGGATAAAAGATTAATGAATTAACATCATATATAAAGTTGCAGTTTACCAGAAATGCAAAATGTATAGTCTAGTGTATGCTGAAAACTTTTGTATCAAAAAAGAAAAAGAAAAAGAAATGCAGAATGCATGCAATACAAATGAAGAAGCAAGCAATTTTGAAGCTGCAGCTAGCTATAAGCAATTCTTTTAGTTTTAAAAATTAAATTCTGAATATACTTACGTCCAATGATGTTGATATCCCCACTTTTGACAACTGCTAAACAATAGCCAAACATACCATTCTGGATATAAACAAAATGTGAACAAAACATATATAGTAGAGAAAGTTCTAACATCGAAACCAAACTGCAGACATAAACACCTTACCTTATCCGAGAAAAGTATTATTGGCTCAACGACATAAAACTGGTCGCCACCTTTCATTGTTAGATTCAAATTAGGAATGAAAGTTTCGTTTGTACTGTTGCAAAAAAGGGTCAATGTGAGTGTTAAAAGGAATTTTGTTCAACCATCATTATTTTTTTAGTACTATTGACTCTGTTAATTACAATGTAATATCAGTTTATATATAAAGAGTCAATAGTATCAACTTACTGAAGCAACTCAAACCTATGACCTCCCATCTGAAAGAGTCATTTCATGTCACTAAACTACAAGATCATTGGCTTTGACCATCATTATAATAATTCTACTATCATGATTGTTACAACATCAGTTTCAACACATCTCAATTCTACAACTATGTACTTCAATTATTTTACAAATTTCACCAAAAGTAGTTGACTGACCTTACGTCATAGCAATACTCGAAAGGAATAGAGGAATTGGAAGCAACTTGACTGCGTGGCTCCTTTACAAAAGAGTTGAACTGCAAACATAACAAATCATTCGTAGCTCAAATGTATTTTAAAAAGGAAAATAATTGTTAGATATTATTAGAACACCGTATTGGACGTACATTCTTTGTAATGATTGTGTATGCTGGATCATTTAAATAGGTGAAGGATGTGCCAGAGTCAAATACGGCTGTAAAATCAACATCAGTCACATTTTCCTCCACAGCTATTTGCGTAACGCTGATGTTATACGTTGGGCTGATTTCACAATTCAGAGAGCAAATGGAAAAGGAACAGTTAGCTTGAATTCTCGGTGCACATTATTATATGTCACGTTTGGTAAAATAGTTAGTTTATAGGCTAATTTTGATTTATTTGATCACTATTAACTTTTTAATTTGATTAAAAAATCAATATAAGTATTTGGTTAATTAACTTTTTGTAACTCCAAAATTTTAAAATTCAAAAAGTTGTTCAAAGCAACTTTTCCAATTAGCTTTTTTTAGAAAGGGAATTATACCAAACAACTATCAGCTAACAACTAATTTACCAAACACCTTTCTACAATAAGAATAAGTTAATGTTATTAACTAGTTATACCCTATATTTAACCCAATCAGCTAACCGCTAATAGTCATTTACCAAACAGGGCCTATATATATTTTTGGATGAAGAATAAAATATGTAGTAATTATCCGAGAGTATACTCGTCTTATGATTCTACCATAATCAGCAAAAGGTTACAATAAAATAAATCAGCATAGGTTGCTCATAACTGACATGCTCAAACCAAGGACAATAAAATGCTCTTAATAGGAATCGAACTTGGAATTTTATGATTCCAAGTCAAACTTAGAACATCCACTACTCGAGAGTGTACAATAAGTTAATCCCACTTTGTGACCCTAGTCAGCTAGTAAGTAAATGACCACAATGACGTAAATCAATCTAGATTGCCTATAGTTAATCCGTTCAAACCAAGAAAATCAATAATAAACAACTCATTGAAAATTAAACTTAGAACATCCGCTACTCTCGAGGTTGTATATTAGTAGACGGCGCCTTGTGATCCTAATTGTAGGGGCGTCAAAGTTGGTTGAGAGACCTGTGGATCAACCCTAACCTACCCCACCGTGGGGCAGATTAGGGTTGAAATTTTTTTGCCCGCAAAGAAGCGGGCCAGGACAGCAGACCGGCTAATATTTTAAAAAGTTGTAAATTTACTTTTAAAAATAAAAAAATTTGTAGCTCATTATTAGATTCAAAGATTTAGAAAATATTCATACTTTTAAAATCATATTATGCATTAGATTATAAATATAAATTAATATTTTCATATAAAAAATTAGTATAAGCTACAATTATAATTAAAACATCATAATCCATCAAATTATAGTACATATAAATTAAAATTTATATGATTTTTTCCATTTATATATTAAAATATAGTATGTAATGTAATATAAAAAAAAAAATCTAAGTTAGCCCTGGGCCAGCTTCTAAGACCTACCAACCCGCTTAGAGTGAGTTAGGGTCAAACTAGTTTTGCTCACGGATCGGTCTACATTAACACCCTTACTTAGTAGGCAAAGATCACAATGGATTGACGAAGTAAACTAATTTAGATTGTCTATAAACTATATCTGACCAACTCAAAATAAGAAAATTTATAAACCATTCTTACTAAGAATTAAACTTAAAAGCTTGTCATTACCAAGCTAACAGCCTAACCAATTTGGGTTGTCTCATGCCACATTATATTGTTTTGATGGATGGCACTGGAGTAAAAAAGGAGGATGCGGGCGTACAATGATTGTGTTGGAATAAATGGTGTCTCTCCTTGATTTGAACTGCCTTTGTCCCCGAAAACTATTCTCCCAACACCATCTTGCCCAAAACACATAGAAAATGACTTTGCAGCAATTCCATTGGATGCTAGAGTGCTAGGTACAGAAATGTTTCCCATTCCAAGCCCAAATAGGCCATTAGGAGCAGCAGCATTCAGAAATGCCCCAGATTGCACCATTCCACAGCTGAAATATAATGAATTGAAGAAACAAATAATAATAATAACAAACATAAATTCAGTGCACAGTCTAGAGTAGTGACTCACAAATCTTATAAGCTCAAAATTAAATACTTATACGTACCCTAATATAATTGGCGCCTTGGTGCTTTTGTGATAACGGCCCTCAGAGGCTAGGTGCAAGACGTCGGCAACCAATATGCCTTGTGACGAGGTGTTAAAAGAGAGATATCCAGTTTTATAGCCACAAGCACTGGGATCAGCTGATGAACAAAGTCCTCTTCGTGCTCGTTTACACAGGGTACCATTGCAGGGAACGATCTTGCTCGTGGATGAGGCGTTGGGGCTATACATATTCAAATCTATTTCCTGTTTCAATTGAGGAGGGAAAGTGGATATACTCGTATATATAAATCAGATGCTCTGTCAGGCTGGAGTGTGAGGGGTCTTAGGGATGGGGTTCAACCTTTTGGAAAGAAGTATTTACCCTTTGGTTGAGGGAAAGTGCAAGGATAATGTTTATAGATTATTGCAAATTAAAGACCCATGCTAGCTAGTACTGAATCACATACCTTTCCTCCTCCCAGTATAAGACGCCGTTCACAGTTGCGGCAATTACATGGCACCCAAAACAGATCGCTACCAGTGTCCAGTGCCACCAAAAATGATAGAGGAGGCGTGCCCACAGTAACATTTGCATAGTGTAAGCTGAAAATTCAAAGTATTCAAACCTCACATACTTCAATACTCAAGTCCTGTTTAGTAAATGGCTATGAGCTCATAGATGTTAGCTATTAGTTGATTGGATTAAATAGATGATATATAATTAGTTGATAACATTAGCTGAGTGTATTAAAGTGTTTGATAATAGCTGTTTGGTATAATTTTTTTTCTCAAAAAGTTACTTTGAGTAGTTTTTTAAATTTTAGCATTTTAGTTATACAAAAAGCTAATTAACTAAATACTTATATTGATTTTTTTTTAACCAAGTCAAAGAGTAATAATGGTCAAATAAGTTAAAATTTGCCTATAAACTAACTATTTTACCAAGGTCAATGACTAAATTTGATAAAGAGTTAATTACCGAAATGGTCCATTGACTATAGTGAAATTACCAATTTGGTCCTTGACTATTTTTTTGACCAATTAAGTCCCTCAACTTTAAAAATCTTAATCAATTTGGTCCTCTGTTTGTTTGACCGTTAGTCAACCGTTAACTTGGGACCAAATTAGTAATTTTGCTTTAGTCAAGAGACTATTTTGGTAATTAACTTTAGGGGTGGGCAATTCGGTTCAGTTTTCTCGAACCGAACCGTACCAAACCGAACTGAACTAGTTTGATTCGGTAATATACCGAACAGTCGAACGGTATTGGATTCTTGTATACCGAACGGTTCGATAAAAAACCGATCCGAATTATTCAGTAAAAAATTGAACCGAACCGAATACCGTTTGATTTTTTAAAAAATATAATAATAATAATAATAAATAAATAAATAAATAAAAAGTGGGGCTGCTTGCTTTGTCGTTTAGCTCATATTCTCACGGGTATCTCTTGTAAATGTTTTATTTGATTTCTTTATGGTTTGTTATCAAAAGTGCCATCAAAAGTTATATATTATGTGTTATGGTGCTTACATAGTCCAGATCCAAAGGTTAATATATAACAAAATAGCAATTCAAAGTTCAAACGATATTCAGTTCGGTTCGGTTCGATTTTTACTGAACAACTCAGTTCGGTTCGAGTTGTTACTGAACCGTTCGATATACAAGAATCTATTACTTTTCAGTTGTTTGGTATATTATCGAATCTAACTAGTTTGGTATGGTTCGGTTCGAGAAAACTGAACCGAATTACTCACTCTAAAAGTTAATTACCAAAATGGTCCCTGGACTATAGCGAATTATCAATTTGGTCTCAAGTTAATGGTTGACTAATGGTCAAACAAACGAACAGAGAATAAAATTGGTTAAGATTCTTAAAGTTGAAGGACTTAATTGATAAAAAAAATAATTAAAGACCAAATTGATAATTTTACTATACCATTTCAGTAATTAACTCTTTGATACATTTAAAAGTTAATGATTAAAATTAGAAAAAAGGAAAATGTCCCCCGTACGGCCGTACGTAGTTATAAATCAGAATCGATTATGGCACGAGAGAAAACTTACAATCCCAGACGAGATATCAGCACGGTCTCATTTCCAGCTTCGAAAGTAAGCAAGGCAGAATCACCGGAGTCTGCAGCGCGGTGACGCCCATGGGAAAGCCGGTACTTATCACGCGCCACCCAGGAGGAGTAGTAGTCGACGCTACCTTTTTCCGACAACCCTTGGAGGTCCAAAATACCGATGACCGGATCCGAGTAACGGTGGTGGATGTCGAACCCGAATGTCCCAAAGGCTTCGCCGGACTCCAACAACTGTAGAACCCAAACCGTCGCCATAAAAACAACGGTAGCTAAGAAATAAGAATGAGCTGCCATGGCTAGCTAAGAATACGGAGAACTGAACAGACAGAAAACTCTGAAAGTGTATTTGGTAGAAGAAAGAGATGAGACCATGCAAATTAATATTCCACCCCTATGATACACGGTATAAAAAGTCTTAGTCTTTTTTTCTTTTTGTCTTTAACAATAAAAGCTATATATATGTGTTTGTATTTTTGGGGGCTAGTATGCTAAATATTATTATTATTTCAAATAAACAACATAAAAAACAACATATTTGCTGGACTGAAATGGACTATGAACTGGACATCTCTAACCTAAAAATAATTTAAATTAAACTCTATTAAAATGAGATAGAAATTGAATAAATATATACACTAAACTTTAAGTTGGATATCATAAATTAACATTACATGGGTACAACCATACTACTTTACCAGTTTCTATATTTTTTGGAGACGGTAGAAGACCAGTAGATTATTTTTTTAATGCATACATATCTAAGTTTTAATACAATTTTGTATTTTTTGGGGATAAAATGCTCAATATTATTCTCATTTTTAATTTACGAATTTTAGAAGTGAAATATATAACATGTTACTGAAAAGTTTATAAAAAATATTGTAACAAATTTGAAATTATCTGTTGTATACGCCACAAATATCATATGAAATCTGATTTCTATAAATGTTAGTTAGTCAAAAGAGTTTTGCACTTTAGGTCCCACGACTATGGTGTCACTAACAACTTTGATCCACAACTTTTAAAACTTGTAGAATTGGTCCACGACTATGACTTTCTTAGCAAATTTGGTCCTTCCGGTGCATTTTCCGTTCAATTTTTGCCGGAAAATTTTACTTCCCATCTTAACATGTGTAATATTGTCTTTTCCATATCACAAACTAATGAGATAAATAAATAAATAATTAATTAATTAAACACAACCGATGGTACGGTGATTGAAATTAAGAGTCACCCAATTCCAATTCCACTTTCAATTTCACCCTTCTCGCTAAACGCCAAATTTTTTTAGCTAAGCCTGCAATTTCTCAATAATTTTTAGCCTAAAATTTCACAATACTGCAGGCTTAGCTAAAAAAATTTAGGCTAAAAATTATATATTGAGAAATTGCCCAACCTCTCCAGGGCAGGCCTGGTTTGGGTTGGTACCCTTCCATCGCCGTCACGCTGGCGGTCTCGGCGGGAGTCCCCTCCTCCCCGCCTCTCCGATGGTCGAGGCGAGTTGAACTCCCCCTGGGTGATAGGTGCCTGGGGCGGCCGGGTGCTTGGACCGCTGCGCCCCCGGGTGGGAGGAGGCGGAGGCGACGCCGGCGCCCCTCCGGTGGCGCCTAGGGCGGCTTGTTCCTCTGCCCAGAGGCCCGCCGCGAAGCGTGCCAGCGCGGTGGAGGCTTGTTCAAAGACCGCCACCCCCTCCTGGATGAGTGCGCGAGCCGGAGCGGGGGCGACAGGGGGTGGTGGCGGTGCACCGCTGCTACGGTGGTTGGTGAGCTGGGCCCTCAGATCCTCCCCCGACCTGGTGGAAGCGGCCGGTTGGATGCTGGGGGAGGGGGCTCCGTTGGGACCGTTCCCGTTCGCGACGAGCTGGGTGCCGCGGGAACCATTGGTATGACGAGAGCTGGATCTCGATCTTGCCATCGCTGTGGATGAACGATAGTGGGGAGAGCGCTTAAGCTTGTACAGCAGCTCTCAATAAGAGCACCAATGATGGATTTAATTACCCGGGGTGGACCCGAATCACTAAATCCCGATAAGAACGTAGTATAGATGATAAATAGATGAATGAAACGACGTCGTAAAGGCCGTGAGACCGTAAATTGTATTAAATGCCATAGAATTGGCTATTACAATAGTATTTCAGGACAAAGTGTGTAAGTAGAATAGATCATGTCTTAATGAGACAAGGTGGGGGTTTTTATACAACCCCCACCCCTAACCGCCACCCCCTAAGGTGGGGGGTGGTTGGATCCGAGTTGACCGCGCCCGGTCTCGCGACCGGGCCGCGCTGCGGGGGCCAGCCCGAACCCATCATGGGCTCGGACCGGGCCCATGTGGAGGTCGGCCCGGCCTCCAACGTGGCCCGTGCGGGGGCCACGTGGCGAGGCCTCGGCCGGGGCGGGTACGTGCCGCCGCCCCGGGACCCGTTCTTGCTTCGCGCCCTCGGGTCGGTTCCCAATATATCCGTCAAATGTGTTCAATGAATACAACTTTATTCTTGACACGCTCCCTAATGGCTAAGAACTTGATGTCGATGTGTTTACTTCGACTCCCACATTTTTCGTTCTTAGTTAGGAAGACTACAGCTAAGTTGTCACAGTAAACTTTCAATGGCTTAAATATAATGAAGTAACAATATTGTTGCGAATCTCCTTCATCTCAAAGTGTTTTTTTTTTCTTTTTTCTTTTCTTTTTCGTTCCAACTCCATGATATACTTAATAAATATAACATAATGAAACTAATATATTTTAATAAAATACAAAGTAAGAACACAAATATATAAAGTAAAACAAAATGTTAGGGAACTACTAGCTTATTTTTGCCTAATGTAACGCACGAGGCACTTTACTACACATTTCTGAGGTTTAGCTTCCCATAGTTTATAGAATTTTTCTAAAAGCATGTATATAACACTAGTAGTTGTAGAGATGTATGAAATATTCTAGAACCATAGAACTTTAGGAATATGTATGTAGATGTTTATGAAGGGTTCTATATATGGATTCTTAGCCATATGATCTAGTAAAATCTTCATCATCCACTAAGGAGGTGGAATATGTATAAATACCTAATATTATCCTGTATAATATAATTATTTCGAGTGAATATTATCCAGTATAATTATTAATTTCTATAGAAGAGCTTATTATAAATTATTATTTTTTAATTAAATAAAAAATACAATGGGCAATCATTACAAATAACAATCGACAAAAAAGTAAAAACAGTGAAGATAACATATAAAAGAAATTTAAGAGATTGAAACACTTTTAAATTTGCCACTTTCTTTAATTTTCTTGCCTCTACGCTATTCCTGACTGAACAATTACGTATTTTAATTGCCATTGGTTCCAGATTAAACTGGTGTTATGGGGTTTCTGGTGCCTGCTGACTTCTGGCCAACAGGAGCTTCTGCTTTATTGGCTAATAAGATCGCTTTTAAAATTCCAAATGATTATATAATTGACATACAGTATGCCTACCAGTATTTTCCGGAATTAATTCCGTACTGTAAGTATTTGATAGTAATATAATTATACTTTCGTAATGCATACTACTGCTTAACGGACAAATCTGAAGTGTCAACGGGAAGCAAGCACATTGGCCGTGAACTCAAGAATTATATGATCAAAGAGTTACCATCCCTATAAACTTTCATGGATGCCGATTCCTTGATATAGTTTAGATTTTTAATTTTCTTTATGGTATCGCACTTTTGCACAAACTATAACCATCAGTGTATAATACAAAATATCCATTAATTACATAAAATAATTAGTTGAGGCTTTTGAGTTGTAGAATGAATTTCTTAAGGTATTTGTTTGGTGTTCGCTGGAAAAACATGAAGATGATATGTTGATCTAGATGCAGCCGTTTCTTGGTGTTCTTGCTAACAAATTCTATTTTTCTTTGTTGGCGGGGTTCATTGGACCGCCATGGTTCCAACGCTGGTGGTCGACAAGATGGACTTCTTTGGTACAAGGACAGCGGACATCACTTAATTGGCGATTTCTCTATGGCTGTAGTCCAGGCCAATAATTTGCTGGAGGATCAAAGCCAAATCGAGTCTGGTTCTTTGAGCTTGCTAGGTTCTGGTCCATATGGAACGTCTATCGGAGTATACGATGGTCACGGTGGGCCCGAGACATCGCGGTATATCAATGACAACCTCTTCCAGCATCTCAAGAGTACGCAAAAAACTATAGCTAGCACGACTCTTATCTATTATCGAGTTACCATTAATGATTCTCAATAGAATTGATAAGGTTCTAATGTTTTTACAGGGTTCACTGCAGAGCAGAACGGGATGTCTGTGGACGTAATACAGAAAGCATTTCGGGCAACCGAAGAGGGATTCCTGTCTTTGGTTGCCAAACAGTGGGCGATGAACCCACAGATGGCTGCCGTTGGCTCTTGTTGCCTTGTTGGCGTGATCTGTGACGGGACCCTTTACGTTGCCAATCTCGGTGATTCCCGGGCAGTTCTAGCAAGGCTTGTCAAGGCAACCGGAGAGGCTCTTGCTGTCCAGCTTTCGACTGAGCATAACGCAAGCATAGAGTCTGTCAGACACGAGCTGTCCAGCTTTCGACTAAGCATAACGCAAGCATAGAGTCTGTCAGACACGAGCTACATTCAATGCACCCCGATGACTCACAGATCGTTGTTTTGAAGCATAATGTATGGCGCGTAAAGGGCTTGATACAGGCGAGTGTTTGGTCATTCGAATTCGGCTATATCTATTACTTGCCTCGTTAATTTTTGGTATTTATAAAAAAATTGTGACTATGTTGCACTTGTGTTTTGTGGTCATTTTACTCTCGAGTAGTTCCTCAGTAGTAGAAATTCTTATTGCAGATTTCCAGATCCATTGGGGATATATATCTCAAAAAGGCTGAATACAACAGGCAGCCTTTATATGCCAAATTTCGTTTGAGGGAACCATTTACAAGGCCTATATTGAGCTCAGAGCCATCGATTTTACAGCACAAACTTGAGCCGCTTGATCAATTCATAATATTTGCTTCTGATGGCCTCTGGGAACACCTCAGCAATCAAGAAGCAGTAGATATAGTTCAGAATGGCAATCGAAACGTAAGATCCTTTTTTTTTATCAACTATTTCTATGAAGGTTTAAACTCTACCAAATAAGTCCAATTGCAGTTGCTTTGAACACTAGGATATCTGGATGTAAAACCATTCCCATATTTAGAAAGTATAGCAGTAAAGTCGCGTACTTTAGAACTGTGATTGTATACTTTTGTATGTTTGGTTATCGTGGTGTGTTCTTGACTCGTTGCAGGGAAGTGGTCGAAGGCTCGTTAAAGCTGCATTGCAGGAAGCAGCGAAGAAAAGAGAGATG